AATCATGTTGTTTACAAATTGTTCATATCATGTGATTCATTTCATCATCCATATTGAAACATATCACATCATGTGCATGCGCAAGAGATCAGGCGGAAGTGCGTCTCTTGTAGCGTGATGTGCGGGACTTATTAGTCCGACATCACCCGTTCCGGGCTTAGCGTACGTACATGGTATTCAAGTTTCGAGTACCACCCCTACTTTCTAGTCTCCGTTGAGAGACTAAGGCCGCGTGAGTTCGTCGTACCAAATGGGCGAATCTCATAGCGCAAGGGTGTCTTTGCTCGTTAGAATCATACAGCATGAAATCATCATCAAGTACAATCATTATGATCATGTATGACATCAATCACGTATCATTATCATCATCTTGAATATATATGCTATATTATGTCATATCATGAATAATTGTATGTCTTCTTGCTATTCAATTTGGAATTGTTGTATTAGCATATTCCTCAGCTGACGCTGAGCGTGTAGTTTGTTTTACTTGCTACACGCAGGTAACGACACTGGTCATGGAGCCCATCCCGGAGGTCAACGAGAGTGAAGAGATGTACGGACTGGTGGACCACTTTTTTGATGCTTTAATTAAATAAATACCTTTTCGAGCGAGTACCCAGAAAATGTAAAACAATTTGATTATGTTTTATATTTAAGGTTCCGCACTATTTCAACATTACTCTGAATTTGATGTTTGATATTTTAATTTAAGTTGGTTCTAAATTATCCCTCAAATTATCATGCGTATTTACCATCATGGTAACTACTCCAGCTCAAATAATCTAGGTAATTGGGTTATTCGAGTCGGGGTGTTACAAAGCGTTAGTTTTCTCCCCGAGTGTCGTATCTCTCGAGGAGTGGACGAAGGGAACTAGTTTAATTACTCTAATTAGGCGAAGATTAGGATTGGTTTATGAAAGTCTTCTCGGAACGATTATAATAAAAGCAGAGTAAAAATCATAAATAAATTAAGTTTACATAGTATAAGTGTAGATCTGGATCTAGGGTCTGGACATCATTTGGATCTATTTTATCATATTAAATTAACAATTAGAATAATAATATTTCTATTACTACTCATCCATTTCTAGATTTGTACTTAATCCGTTGTACTTGAATATCATAGCCTTTTGGCATACAATATTTTCTCAATAAATGGCCAATTAAATCTTTCGATATTAATTAACCAAATAAGGCAAGAACAATAGATTAACCATTCCAAAATTAATTTAACATCAAAAATAAACAACCAAACTAGTCCGGACCCAGAGATCCGGACCCTAACTCATACTATGCAAACATAAATTAAAACAGCATTTTATTAAATAAAGAAAACTTACTACTTCCGTAAAAGCGGAACA